GTCTATCTGAAATGAGAAGATCGGGAGTTAGCCAGCAGCAAAAATTCACCAGGTTCAACCAGTCAGGCGCGTACGTGGATGGTGGTAGAAAGAAGACAGCGTAGAGACGAAAACGTTTATCGCACGTGTCTGCAATAATGCACAACCGGAAGTCAAAAAGGGAGACTGGGTCACATCTTTTTTCTTATCTTTTTATTTTTACTTCCTTTTGTTGAATATGCAATGGTACAGTTTTCAGGAAGGGGGAAGCGGCCAATCAAAGGGCTGCCAATCAGCACAAAATGGGGATGGTTAGGCGGTGGTGGTGGGGTTCGAACACATCCCCGGGGTGATAATTTGGTGACGTTACCACCGGGCCACCACCGCCATATATGTATATATATATTTTCTTTCGAGTGAAAGCTTCTGGAAACAGAAAGAGAGAGAGAGAGTGATAGGGGAGACACGATCAGGTATGGTGAACGTTCATTACACTTACTATTCCGTTTGAGTGTGAATCGTTTTCATGTCTCACTGGACCTTTTGGTTCATGGTGTCTGTATTTTCTTCTCTTTCAGATTGTCAGTTCCCCCTCTCCACGGAGAACATCCTCTGTCGACGGTTCCAACCCACACCTAGACTCGACCCACTTGCGGATGGCGTTATGCCTTTCTTGAGAGTTATAGCGGAAATAGAACAGAGCAAAAATCGATGTTCACATGAACGGTGAGATGTTTGGACGTGTGATATCCAAGGAATAAATTAAGTAGGGACGGTCGGTGGTTCCATGGATGGGAAAAGATGGAACTGTCGAAGTTAATCTACGAACATCTGGATACAACGGTTTTCAAGCCCAGCGAATGCTCGTGGCTTATTTCAAAGAAATCCAACCCCCCCATGACCTCGTGGTAGATATGGGCTCCCTTCTACAGCCCGTAAGTTTATCACATTTGCGGCATCCCTTGAAAATTCTGCAAAGGACTGAGAGGGGTATCGGTTGCTAAATCCCTGCACCTTCGACTCACTGTTGCATAGCAAACTGCTCCCTTCTACCCCTCGAAAGACTCCAAGCTCTTCCGAAGTGCTTTCTTCCCGGTCATACGTCTGGAACGACGTAACCCACCCACAGCCCATCTCGCCCAAAGCTTTCTCGTTAAACGAGTCAGTGGTCTGCCTCAAGCCAGTAGCTTGCAGCTCGGCGAACACCAGTCTATGTGCGGCGCACTCAGAGACCAACCCCGGAGAAAAGACGTCGGTGCGAATGGTCCACGGGACCACAAACCAGAAAAAATAAACCCGGCCCAGAGTGATAAACGTCCTTCCCCCCGAAGCAAAAAAGGCCTACTTGGTGAGCCCCTCGTCTTGCAAAGTAACATAGTCACAGGAAAGAAATCGCCTAAGCTGTCTGTTGCCACTGCCCAGAAACTCAAGACTGTCCTTCCAACTCTCTTAAAGCCTTCCAAGTTTGCTAAAGCTCTTCCCTTCCTCCCAACTTCCGTACCCACCCCCAAAATGCAACCTAACTTTCGGATGGGGGCTCCGGAGGGTCGCCTCCCAGAAAGGTGGCCAAATCACGTTCGCCCATCCGTGAAACCTCCACCTTCCCTGCACGCAGGTATCCAACAGAAACTACGACCAGCAGTACTAGGGGTTCCTCCCTTTATGTCCCCACCAATCCAACACATAACGCCGTCCAACTCCTTCCCTCTCTCCGCCCCAAAATGAGCGAATTTTTAAATGCTTTTATTGCAACTACCTCATCTCCCCAATCAGTTCAGTTCAATTCTTACAATCATTAACCATGCACTTTCGTGCGCCGATTTTAGTTGCCCATTTTGATAAAATAGCAGAATGATGATTAGAATGTTGAGAGCAGTTTTAAGTGGAAGGTACCACATATTCACAGATTGAAGTTACAGGAATAATGAGTAGATGCATGAGCGCCCCTGTTTGCGACACTCAGCCATATCACTCAGTGTCTCTTACCACCGGTGACCATGATCTCTGGGTCCCCAGCCAGTGAGTCTAACAGGATCTATGTGAGCCAGTCTCCTGGTCAGGGTTTTCATACCCTCATGCTTGGTCTTAGCTTGACCGCCCTTCATTTTTTCCAACCGCTACCTGCCTCGCCAAGCATCGCTCGCCGTGGCAACTTATCTGGTGACATGTGTAGCACATGTCCCAACTGGCGTAATCTATGGAGGTCGATCGCTTGCTTTAGTGGACGACCGCGACTGCCTAAAACTCTACGCCTAACCTCAGCATTGCTAGTCCGTTTCCCCACCAGACTCGATCAATGCGACGTATTCAAACACCGACAGTCTATTTTTATCCTGTTCCCGTAATGGTCAAGTCTCTGCGCCTTAAAGCAGAACTGGCCAAACTGCTGCAGCATATACTCGACCCTTCACAGACGACCGGATGTCGCGACGGCGCCACAAACGTCTCTAGTTGGCAAATGCCAACCATTCTTTCTGTAAGCGCGCCGGCCACATTTCAGCGCCTGATGCAACTCGTACTAAGGGACCTGATACCAGAGAAATGCTCAGTATACCTTGACGACGATTTTGCTGGGGATGCTGGTAAGGGAAATGGGACGGTAGCTAACAGGGAAGTGTCTACCGCCGTTTTTTGTTGATAGAGCAAATAATAGCACTTTTCTAGTTGGTGGAAAAGATTCCCTCGTCTATACTGCGTTGGAAGAAAAGAGTGTAATGGGGCAGCTAGTACACCAGCTGACTCCACCAGTAGCCTAGGGTGTATATTATCAGGTCCCATGGAGCAGTATGGACAAATACTCCGGAGTCTCTTTTCACGCTTACTTGTGAGAAAAGGATGGAGCCTAGGGATGAATTTGTATCTAGCGGCTGCAACATGGAATGATTGAGTATCGGAGGGGAGTTGAAGGTTTTCTGGAAGTGTGGTCGGAAGGTCTCCGCCACGTATGTTGGGGATGAGGCAATTGATCCTTCTGGGTTAGTGAGAGCTATGGGGCAGAGAGGAGGCTCTCGCAAGCCACCGATTTATTTAAAGAAAGGCTTATTGTTTCGAGCATTGGTAAGGATAGGTCTCTGGGCATACCTCTGATGATCCCGAAGTTTTTGTCGGAAGAGGTTTCTAACTTGTTTGAGAACATCTCCGTCGACCGTAAGGCGAGTGCTCACATATCGCACAAAATGCTTAGCCCTTGTATCTAACAGCCGGCGAATTGGGTGAGAGAAAGGGGGCTTAGCATTAGACGCAATTCGAATTGGGGAAATTAATTGGAAGTCTGCAAGATACATGGCCTACTCCGCGTGACTGGCGAGGCCGTCAACAGACATTTCGGAGGAACGAACGTATCGAGTGTGATCGCTAATCAGGTTCCGAGTTACTATGTAGTCAAAAGTCAGTGAAACATGGTCACTTTCCAAGAGGGGAAAGCGGGTTGATGACATCAATCTGTTGTCTTTTGTTGATAATAATTGGATCAAGTAAAGATAAGATGTGTCCTTATCGGAACCTGGTTGGATAAGATACGTGTTGCGTCCAGGATTTCTTGATTAGAAGGTCAGTAAGAGGACGACCGAAGGAGACGTCTGTCCAGAATGTCTTTTGCCAGTCGATGCCTGGGCAATTGAAATTACCTACCACGAAAAGGTGAGAATGTGGGCAACTTTCCGTGGCAGACCTAAATATATATATATATATATATATTTACCACCGGCTTGAAAACAAGCATGGTGCCAA